GGTTTTAGACCTTGGCTTCATCATTTATAAACTGAGTCCTTTGGCTAGGTCACACCACCCATTTAGAGCCTCACCATGTCTTTTCATACAGGACAGGACCATAGTACCCCCATTTGTAGTGGTGTGGTAAGCAACAGAGATTATGTAGACAGAGAGCTCCATGTGTGAGCAGAGCCTCAGTAATTGTTCCCTATAATTGTTATCATCATAACTATCATCATCTTCATCTAAAGTCCCTTCCAGCTCGAAAATTCTGACTTTATGAGATGTCCTCATCCAAGAAGACGGCATGGTAAAATAAGGCAACAGTCCTGATTTTGTGTAAATGTTCTTTCTAATAAGGACAGGAGGAACATAATTGCCCCTAAATAATTGCACCGACTTTGCCACAGCTGTCAGAAGGCCTTAATTGGTCCATCTGTAATGACTGCAGCCATCTGCGTGCGGGGTGATTTAGCGGTGGGTCTCTGCCGGAGCGGGGCCCTCATGATTAGAGCCGGACGGGGCCATATATCTCCCTCTGATGGGAGTAGTGGTGTGTGGTATAGGAGATTAGCTCATCCTCATGTTAATGACCGACCAGTTGAACCTAGCCAAGAAGCGCTGGTCACAAGACAATGACTATGGATTTTTTTTTTTTTTTAAGGTAGTGTTCCTGCCCTAACAGCAACCTATCTGGAGTGTGATCGTGCCTCTTGCTATCATGTCTCGCTTCCCAAGAAAGTCTCTTTTGGAAAGATTTAGTCCCTCAATTAGGGCGAATTGATTTCTGCTCTCTACAGAGCCACTGTTCCAAAGAGAAGTGGGAAAGGGCAGGAGGAGCCATATTAATCTTTGTGAGCAAGCGAGAGGCGACCTGGAGTGTTTTTCAGCCTTGCCGCCTTGGGTTGTATCTGGAGTTAATCTTTCCTCTGTATATCTTTTAATTGCTCCGACTTGCAGGGTGCCAGACAACACAACACAAAACATACCTCATCGCTAGTCCTTAAAGTTTCTGAAGACTTAAATCAAGCGTCTGGAGCAGTGTTTCCCCAAGTGCACCAGCACGAAAGTGATTTTAAGTGGTACCTAAGATGATCTCAGGTGGCTCTGAGACTTCACATTAAGTAACATTGACTCATGGGGAGAGTACATTTTCTCTTTTCAGATCTCTCTTTCATTTCCTCTGATTACCTCCGATGGAAAGTCTCGGCTGGCTACCCTTATCTCCCTTCTTTACAAAGAGGGAAGCGAGATCTGGCTGAAATCTAGTAACATCACTTTATCCTTATTAGTTTGGCTTTTTTAATTCATTAGCTCTTTATCACAAATGGTACCGATTTTCCACTTATAGTGTTTAATGTTTCCTTTCAAAATAAGGTTAATTAAATAAAATTATTAGCTTGAAAAAAAGTGAGTTGATTTAAAAAAGAAAATCTTAAGGAAGTTGTTGTAAGGTAAGTGGAAGTGGCAAAAATCATGCCGGTAATATGATGATGAGAGATTGGGAAAACACAGCTAGAGAGGCAGAAAGCCTCCTGTTTCTACAGCGAACCCAGCAGTTTCCTGGCTGTACGACCTCAAGCAAGTTTCTAAGCTTCTCCGAGCATCAGTTTTCTCATCTGTCATATGGGGAGACCTGTGATGCAGAGTACGAGTTTATGAATCAAGGGAGATAAAATATGTGAAGCTTCTTCGCAAATCATAATCTGCCTTCCCAGTGAAAACTGTTCATTTTTATACAGGGTTTAGAAAAATCAAAGGCTCAGATGGTTTTGGATCAAGCAGTCAAGGGGCCCTGGCTCTACTGTTAACTATGGCACCTTCCCTTCTCTGGACTTAATTTCTGTCTATAAAATGAAGAGACTGAACTACTCCAGTGCTCTCTAGGCTGTCTATGCATCAGAATTATCTGTGGGTCAAGTAAAACCAAAGACCCTGATGCTGCCTTCAGTCTCCCAGATCATAAGGAGGATCCAAGCAACTGTATTTACAGTCAGCTCACAGATGATCTGGCCACATGCCCTAAATCAAGGGCACCTGTCCAGCTCTAAGCCCTGGTGGAGTGAATTCAGAGCAGGATTGTCTGACTTTCTTAATCCAGCATACTCTTTTTTAAGGCTCCTTCATATTATTTCCATAGCTCATTCTTTTTTATTGCTGAATAGTATTTTCCCTGATTGGATATACTACATTTGATTTATCTGTTCTTCAGTTGATGTGTATTTGGACGATTTGATTTTCACTTTGGGGATATTATGAATATTGCTGCTATGAACATTAGTGTACAACTTTTCATGTGGATATATATGTTTTGGTTCTTTTTTAAAATTTTACTTATTTATTTATTTTGGCTGCACTAGGTCTTTGTTGCTGCACATGGGCTTTCTCTAGATGTGGTGAGCAGGATCTACTCTAGTTGCAGTGCATGAGCCTCTCATTGCGGTGGCTTCTCTGGTAGCGGAGCATGGGCTCTAGGGCACACAGGCTTCAGTAGTTGTGGCACATGGGCTTAGTTACTCCCTGGCTTATGAAATCTTCCTAGACCAGGGATCAAACCCATGTTCCCTGCATTGGCAGTCAGATTCTTAACCATCAGAGAGCAGGATGTCCAACATACATTTTCATTTCTCTTAGAAATAATTCAACCTAGGAGTAGAATTGCTGGATTATATGGTAAGTGTGTTCAATTGTTTGAGGAACTGCCAGACTGTTTTCCAAAGTGGCTGCACCATTTTATTACAGTCCCATCGACAGTATATGAGAATTCTTATTTCTCTACACCCTTGTCAACACTTACTATCTTACTTTTTCATCATAGGCATCCTAGTGGATATGAAGTATCTCATTAAGATTTTTATTTATATTTCCCTGATGACTAATGATGTTGAGCATCTTTTCATGTGTTTGGCCATTCCTATATCTTTTTTCAAGAAGTGCCTATTCATATCCTTTGCCCATTTTTAAAAATTGAGGTAAAATCCACATAACATAAAGTTAACCATGGTAAAATATATAATACTCATGTTAAAGTACATGATTCATTGGCATTTAGCATATTCATAATGTTGCACAACCATCACCTTTATCTAGTTTCAAAATTTTTTGTCACCACCAAAGGAAACCCCCCTACTTATTAAGTAGTCACTCCTCCTTCCCCTCTGCTCCAGTTCACTGTAATCACTGATCTGCTTTCCAGGTCTGGATTTACCTAATTTGGAATTTCATACAAGTGGAATGCTATAATATGTGATCTTTTATGTCTGGCCTCCTTTACTTAATATAATGATTTCTAGGTTCATGCACGTTGTGGCATGTATCAGCACTTCATTTCTTGTTGTATGGATATATTCCATCTTTGTTTATCTATCTGTGAAATGATGTAAATTTGGGTTATTGTCACCATTTGACTGTTGTGAACAATGTTGCTGTGAATGTTCAAGTAATCAAGAGATTTTTAGCTGTGCCGGATTCCTTGATCCCTTACATTCGCATAAATTTTTGGATCAACTTGTCAATTGTCAGTTTCTGCAAAGAAGCCAGCTGTGATTTTTGATCACATTGAATTTGTAGATCAACGTAGGAGGTTTTGCCATCTTCACAACATTAGGTCATCTGATCCATGAACATTGACTATCTCTCCACTTATTTTGATTGTTCATTTCTTTCAACAGTGTTTTGTAGTTTTCAGAGTATACAGTTTGTACTTACTTTGTTAAATTGTAAGTGGTATTTTTACCATTTTAATTGCATTTTCAAATTGATTTCTTATTTGCTAGCCTGTAGAAATACAGTTGATTTTTAAATGCTGATCTGTATCCTTAAATCTAAGTTTACCTGTTCTAGTTTTTTGTAGATTTCTTAAGATTTTCTGTGTAAGCAATCATTTCATTTACAGTCTTTCCAATCTTTATGCCTTTTCTTTGTCTTACAAATTGCACTGACTAGGAATTCTAGAATAGTGCTGAAGTAAAAAGAAAGTGGAAAGCCTTTCTCCTGATCACAGGAGCAAAGCATTCAATATTTCACCATTAAATATGATATAAACTATAGGTTTTTTGCAGCCATACTAGTTTTCATAAAGGGGCCTAACCCTGATTAAAATCAAGAGACACTAATGTTAAGGCTGACATTTTTAGTAGAAAGAGGATGTCTTTGAGATTTATTTATAACAGCTTTTCCAGGCATGGGCCAGAAGACAGCCTAACAGAATAAGCAAAAAGAGGAATTGGTTGTCATATGTAATAAGAACAACTAGGAGTCTATCTGCTTCAGGCACAGGGCGATCTGGAGAATCAAAATGTTATCGGGATAATGTCCCTCTTCATCTATTCACTCTTTCTACTTGTTGACTTCAGTTTCAGCAGATCCTCCCAGCATCTCATCACCTCATTTTGCTAAAGATGTCAGGAGCAGCTCCAGAGTTAGAGCCAACCAACCTAGTAACTCTAGTAAGAAAAACGGGCCTCATTGTCCAATAGTTCTGAAAAAAAAATTCTCAGGATTCATTGTTTGGACCAATTCAGGTCACATGTCCATCCCTGAACCAATCACTGTGGCCAAGGGAATGGAATGCCCTGATTGGCCAGGCCCAAGCCACATGCTCCTCCCCTTGGGAACCAGGAAATGAGGTCAAACCCACCCAAGTCTGGAGGACTGAGAATGGGAGGGAAGAGGTAGTTTCCCCCCAAAAAGAATCAAAGTATTGTTGCCAGAAAAATGAGAGAATGTGTCCAAGCCAAACGTAAATCACAGCTGCCAACTCTGTCATACAGAAATTCTGTGTTGCAGGTCTGGCACTAACACTGGCCCTCTTTAAACTTCAGTTTCCCCCTTTGCAGTACACAGGTGGTGCTTCCTGCCCTTATTGGCCCCATCTGAGAGACCCAATAAGACAGTGTACCAGAAATCTGTCTAAACTGTAAAGTGCAGAGCACACGTAAAGAAGGGGTCACAAGAATGATTACTCAGCAGCTGTTCTTACCCACCTGTCCGTCTGTTCTCCTCTCTCTGTCTTGCAGAACACCTGAAGAAGCCACTCGAAGACTACATGGCCCTTTTCCCCAGCGTGAGGATTCTCCGAACCAAGAAACGGGAAGGACTGATCAGGACCCGGATGCTGGGAGCCTCAGCTGCAACTGGGGATGTCATCACATTCTTGGACTCACACTGTGAAGCCAATGTCAACTGGCTCCCCCCCTTGCTCGGTAAGGGAGGCTTGCAAGGTGAAGCAGGCGGCCTGGAGTGCACCAGTGGCCACTGGCCCCAGCTTCTGCAGGGAGTCAACTACAGGGCTTCCCTTGCCTGCCTGAGATGCACCCAGCATTGTGCCAGGTGCCACGAGGGTGTCAGATCTTCAGGGGTGCTCAAAGTGGCCTTACGAATCCATGCAGTCCTGCCCCTTCATTTTGCAGAGGAGGAAGCTGGGACTTTGAGAGGGGAGGTGACTTGCCCAGAGTCATAAAGCACGTTAGTATCAGTGATATGACTGTTTCTCCCAGGTCACTTCAGGTGTTAGTGGAAAGCAAGCCAAGACTGCCTACTGCAAAGAGCTAAATCTTAGCAGTAGGCATCTTGATTTGATGATGTAAGGGACATCATCAAATCAACTCAGAACAGTGGTTGTTCATTGCGTTGCTACTGTGAGCCAAGAAATTTGTAAGCTTTATCTCCAGTCCTCACAAAACCACACCAGGTTGAAAGTGTCTCCTTTTTATATTAGAAGAGACTGAAGTCCTGAGATAATGAGTGACTCGCTAGTTCCCTTGGGCAAAAAGTGTCAAAGTCCCAATCTGTCTGACTCCAAAGTATATCCTCTTTCAGGATTCCACACTGCCTGCCTAAGTTCATTTGCTCCTCCGGGGATTTCTGACAGCTGTCAGGGAAGGGCTCCAGACAGAGGGCAGTGTGATCCAGGAGTCCACACAACCTGAACAGGAGGGAGACCTGAAGCCAGGCTGCCAGGCAGTGAGGTGCCTCATGGCTGGTTGAATAACAAGGTCTGAATCCAGAGGTACTGAGCTCTGAGGAAGGCAGTGAGCTGCTGCCAACAGTTAGATGCTGAAAAGGAAATCCCCTAGTGGGGCTGGTGGCCAGGTGAGGAACAGGGATGGGGGCAGATTGGGGAAGATCTGTCAGTCCAGAAAAGTGAAAGCCTCAAAAATAGATGAGTATGGGACTTCCCTGGTGGTCCTGTGGCTAAGGCCTCTACACTCCCAATGCAAGGGACCTGGGTTCAATCCCTGCCCAAGTCAGGGAACTAAATCCCACATGCTGAAAATAAAAGATCCTGCATGCCAAGTCCTACATGCAGCAACTAAAACCAGGTGCAGCCAAATAAATAAATAAAATTAATTTGCAGGGCAGCAGTAGAGATGCAGACACAGAGAACAGACTTGTGGACACAGTGGGGGAAGGAGAGTGGGGCGAATTGAGAGAGTAGCATTGAAACACATACTCTACCATATGTAAAATAGATGGCTAGTTGGGATTTACTGTATGCTGCGGGGAGCTCAGCCCAGTGCTCTGTGACAGCCTAGACAGGAGGAATGAGGTGGGAGATGGAAGGGAGGTTCAAGGGGAGCGGACGTGTGTATAACTATGGTTGATTCATGTTGATGTATGGCAGGAGCCAACACTGTATTGTAAAGTAATTATCTTCCAATTAAAAAAGGGAAAAGAAAAAAAAAATGGAGGGATATGCTCTCCATAAGAGAAAGCATCGAGAGCAAAAGGACTCAAGATGACAAGCTTGAGCATGTATCAGAATCACCTAGAAGATTTGGTAAAAGACAGAGTGCTGGGCCCGGCTCCAGAGTTGTTGGTTCGGGAGGTCGGGGTGGGGCCTGAGAAGCTGCATTCCTGACAACCCCTGGGTGATGCCAGTGCTGCTGGTCCGGGGACTACACTTCAGGGAGCGCTAGTTAGGCCCCCATTCAGAAGTGAGGACAGAAGGCAAACCCTACACAGATTAATGGAATAACCCAGCATATTTGTTTCCTAACACAGATAATCATGAAACTTTAGTATGAGATTATTTGCTTCTGGCCCCAAGGGTCCAGGATCCCACTGGGTTAGAATATAACCCAGATTTTTCTGGTAAACTATTTCATTAAACCAAGAGGTCTAGATTTGCCTCTCATGACTGAAAGAGAACAAAAAAGAAAAAAAAAAAGCCTCATTCTAAATACCCTAATTTATAGTCGTGAAGGAACATCCCATTTGGTGGGTCATTCAGTGACTCATAAAGAGAATGAAGTGTTAGGCACGATGCTGAGCTTGTGGTCCAAATAGCCTTAACTCTGTTTCTATGGAAATATATGAGGGTAATATTCATAACCTACAGGCATACATGGAAGAAATATTCTTCCTCTTTTTTTTCCTTTTTCCAATAGAAATGTGAACCAGTGGTGTAGATGTAAAAGTCTGTCCCTGCTAATATGAACGGCTGATATAGCCCACCCTGGCTTTTGTGCTGAAGCCATAAGCATGCACAATTCACTCTGCCTTCTTTGGAGAGTAGGCATTTCTGAGCCTGAGAAGGATTTAGCCCTCCCTTCCCCAAAGGAAAGCCACTCTTGATCATCATTTTCTTCATTTCTATCATCATCAGCATCATGCTTCTGTAAGTCCCTTATCTTTTTAGGCCACAGCTGTTTTTGAAGGTGACAGTTATATGGTAAAGGAGACAGGCCAGGCATTATTATCCACATAGAGCAAATAAGAAAACTGAAGGGCAGAGAGGATGAGGCTCCTGCTTCTGAGCTGCTGTCAACAATCCTGGGCACAGAGGATGTCGGCAGAGAGGGGGTCACCTGCTGGACTAAGCCTCTTGGCCATCATCCTGCTTGGTCTTCACAGAGACCCCATGTGGTAGTTGCTGTCTTCCTCCGTTCTGTCAGCCAGGAAACCGGGGTTCAGAGGCACCAGATAACCTTTCCCAAGGTTATACTGTTCATAGGTGGCAAAACCAGGGTTTGAACCTGGGTACCCTATCTCCAGGTGAGGATGGCACCATGGAATGCCGCCTGTCTGATGCCACCACCTTGACCTCACACCTCCCACAATGAGCCGGCATCCAGCAGAGCCTTGTGTCCTCAACCCACAACCTCCCTGGAAGGGAGGTCCCTCACACAGCCATGAAGAATTAGGAAGGGAAGTGAAAGTCACTCAGTCATGTCCAATTCTTTGTGACCCCATGGGCTATGCAGTCCCTGGAATTCTGCCGGCCAGAATACTAGAGGGGGTAGCCTTTCCCTTCTCCAGGGGATCTTCCCAACCCAGGGACTGAACCCAGGTCTCCTGCATTGTAGGCAAATTCTTAACCAGCTGAGCCACAAGGGAAGCCCAAGAATACTGGAGTGGGTAGCCTATCCCTTCTCCAGCGGATCTTCCAGACCCAGGAATTGAACCGGGGTCTCCTGCATTGAAGGCAGATCCTTAACCAGCTGAGCCACAAGGGAAGCCCAAGAATACTGGAGTGGGTAGCCTATCCCTTCTCCAGCGGATCTTCCAGACCCAGGGATTGAACCGGGGTCTCCTGCATTGCAGGTGGATTCTTTACCAACTGAGCTATCAGGGAAGCCCCATTAGGGAGAAAGGGCCCTTCTCTAGATCTTTCCCCAGGAAGATTCTTCAGTTTCCTTAAAAATTCCTAGGGAGGCTTCCACAGGGCAGATCCAAGCTCCACCCCAGGAGATCCTGATTCAGTGGGCCTGGGGGTTGGGGGAGAACACTTGAACACACCCTGCGTGCTTCTGACACTGTTGGTTCCAGATCTGTTCTTGGGGACACAGTGTCAAAAGCACCATTTTTCAAACTTTTATGACCGTGTACCACAGTTAGAAATACACTGGGGATATGTCAGTCCATTACACAAATGCACATACTGATGCAGTATGACTGAAATATTTCCAAAACAGTGCTTTCCCTCATCACCTAGAATACACCCTGATATTCAGTGATTCACTATTCTTTTTTCTTCATTACAAATACACACACATACAATTTCATGACCCACCTATGGATTGTGTATTGCAGTTTAGAAAAAGACAAAACTTCTGCTTTCTCTCCTGGAAGAAAAATCTACTGTGTAACTCAATGAATGAAGCCTGGGCCCTGGGCAGCTGCCAGCCTACCCTGGCCCTACCAGACTCCCCATTCCAAGCCTTGAACTTGATCCCTGGCCTAAGCAGCAAGGCACCCCAGCATAGCCCACTTGCCCCTCATAGCCGATTGTCTGCCCCAGTCACTGGCTGTAGTCAGGGCTTCTTGGCAGAAGGCATGCTGAAGGGCAGACAGTGAATTTTATAGAGTCTGCGTTTTTCTGGCTTGACAGGGACATAGAGCCATTTTGAGGTTAAGACCCCCATTTGCCACCTTGGATCACCTTGCAGGCAGAATTCCTGCATGGCCGAGGTCCACCAGGCCCTGCTTGCCCTGAGGAGCTCCTGGGACAGTTCTCTCACTCGTCAGTAGTTCTGACTGTTGGAAGAGGTGAACTGGCCTCTCTCGAAAGGACCGTTTGTTTTCTGATGGCAGCCAGGAGGGTCAGGCAGTCTGCCATGAGGGGTAAGTGCTGGGGTGCCTCGATGCTGGGCCACAAGTCAAGTTAGGACTCAGAATGGGGAGCCTGGCAGGGCCAGAACAGGGTCCTTCCCAGAAAGAAATTAATCTCTTTTCATAACAGTGCTGAGCATGATGGGCACCTGTGCTAAACATCCTCAAACGTTACTCTCTCCAGTACTTCTGCGACCAGAGCCTCTTCTCCCCATTTCACAGAGGAGCACACTGACACTCGGAGTGCTATTTATGTTGCCAACCGGAACCCATCGTGGATGGCAGGATGGGCTGGGAGCCCTGGTCCATCTTACCTAAAGTTTGCACTCTTTCTTCTTCATGGAGTCTCAAGCTCAAGTATTCAGAGAAATCACCCAGGAAGCATGTTAGAAATGTGAATAAGTCACAGAGCAGGATCATGCACGTAGCTGCTTTCCCATCCAGCCTCCCTAACGGGCATCTCTTGGCTTCTTCAGACCGCATCGCTCGGAACCGCAAGACCATTGTGTGCCCAATGATCGATGTGATTGACCACGATGACTTCCGGTACGAGACGCAGGCGGGGGATGCCATGCGGGGTGCCTTTGACTGGGAGATGTACTATAAGCGGATCCCCATCCCTCCAGAACTGCAGAAAGCTGACCCCAGCGACCCATTTGAGTAAGTATGAGTTACCCAGGTCAGTCCCAGTGGCTGACCCCAGGGACCCCTCCTAATGCACACAGAACTCAGGATCGCCACCTCCCCCAAAAGTCTAGTGTGGGGGGGGTGGGGCAGACCTCCCCAACCAGAAGCACAATCCCTCCCAGCTTGTCACAGAGCTTTGGCTCATGGACCACCAAGCTGGTCACTTCTTTGCCTACCCCAAGACTGGCAGTGTGGGTGGCAAGCCTAGTGCCCGGCTGTAGTCTCATCATCATCATCATCATCATCATCGCTGTCATTGTCATCATCACCACCATGTTGTTGTTCGGTCGCTAAGCGGTGTCTGACTCTGCGACCCCATGGGCTGCAGCACACCAGGCTTCCCTGTCATTCACCATCTCCTGGAGTTTGTTCAAATTCATATCCATTGAGTCGGTGATGCCATCCAACCATCTCATCCTCTGTCGCCCCCTTCTCCTCCTGCCCTCAATCTTTCCTAGCATCAGAGTCTATTCCAATGAATTGACTCTTCGCATCAGGTGGCCAAAATATTGGAGTTTCAGTTCCAGCATCTGTCCTTCCAATGAATGTTCAGGGTTGATTTCCCTTAGGATTGACTGGTTTGATCTCTCTCAGTCCAAGGGGCTCTTGAGAGTCTTCTCCAGCAGCACAGGTCACCACCATTTACTGCGCATTTTCTAAGTGCCAGGTGCAGTGCTGAGCACACTACACACTGATCCTTTTAACCCCAACAGCCATGTGTAGTAAAAAATTATCATCCGTGTTTTCCATGCGGGGACACCAGGGCTCCAGGAGGAGCCTGTCCAGGTCCCACAGCTGTGAAGGGGCAAAGGCTTAATACCGCTGGAGCCAACTTTCCTATCCATCAGTTACAGCCTCTTGGAAGTATCAGGGAAGTAACAGTTTGTCCCCCAGTGGAAGACTGGGAGCACGGGACTGGACCCATCACATCCTAGAATGTGAGCACTGGAGGGAACCAACGGGTCATGGGCTCCAAGCCCTTGCAGAAGAGGAGACTTGGGCCCCAGGGCAGGGAAGGGCTTCCCTGAGCACCGTGTGGGCTAGCAGCTAAGCCTGAAACACAGCCCAGTCCCTCTCTGGTCCCCCAAGCTCCGGAAGGGTCTTTCTGACTGAGGGAATCAGTCAGCTCACCATCCCAGCTGTCACATGAGCCCCTCCAGCTCTCCTTCCAGAGGTGTGGGACAGTCTCTGGGCGTGAAGCCGAAGTCCAGCCTTTCCTGCTGGGTTAGTTTCCTGATATGTTTCCTAATTATCGCTGCAATAATAACATACCACAGCTTACTGGTTTATCAAAACAGCACCGATTCATTCTCTTCAAGTTCTGGTGGTCAGAAGTCTGAAAGGGTCCTACTGGACTAAATCACAGCATCGACTGTGCCACGTTTCGTTGAGATGCTCCAGGAAGGGACCCATTCCCACGCCCTTTCCAGCTCCCAGAGGCTGCTCTAGAGAATACCTGGATGCTGGGAAACATTGAAGGCAAAAATAAAATAAATCTTTAAAAAATCCAATTTATAAAAAGGAGGAGGAGGAGAAAGAAGTGTGAGGAGGAAGAAGAAGACGAGAAAGAAGAAAAAGGAGAAGAACCACCACCACCCGAGCTGTCCCTGAGTCCAGTAACACCAGAGTCTCTGCGTGGGGACCCAGCCATCCGCTACTGGGTGATGCTGACACGTGGACAGAGTTGAGCACCACTGGCCCAGATGCTTCCCAAGGGACACTCCATCCTTTGTGCCCTCCAATTCCTTCCATAAGTCTCTCTTCTGTCTTGCACTAGGACAAAACCTGCCACAAAGAAATCCTGGTCATTTTCTGCACTCTTCCCTACGGTGCCCAGCAAGTGGGCATGCCACAGGCACAGTGCCATGTCATGATATTTGAAAGACACCAACTTCGGTGGCAGCTCATCCACTTAGAAACTACATGCCCTTGAGCAGAGCATAGGGCATTTCTGAATTTCAGATTTCTCCTTGTGAAAAGAGGGCTAGTAATAGGGCTTTGTGAGAGCTGGAGATAGCGTTGGTGAGGTGAGTGGCACCCACTGGACGCTCAGGACTGTTGTAATTATTACTGTTGAACACGGCAGGAAACAAACCAGGCTGGAGAAGAGGCCTCCCTCTGGAGGCGGAGCCCTCGAGCATCCAAAATGCCTCACAGCTAATATCCTGCCTTTTCCACAGCCCCTGCTGCTGGCATCCACCCAGACTGATATTTTTGTGCCGTTTTAGGTTTGATTTTCCATGAAGCACTGAGTCAGAACCACTCTCTGCCCCTCCAGGCATTACGGCCCCACCCAGAAAAACCCAAACCCCACAACCATAAGACAGAGGAAAGCTGACACTAATAGCACCTTACTTTCCTACGGGACTGAATACTTTCTACACAGAGCAGCAGTGTGAGCTAGGGAGAGTAGCTGTACATCCTCGTGTAGATGGGGAAGCAGGCTCAGAGAACAGGTTAAGTCAGTGCTGCCCTGTAGAAATGTAATGCGACCCACGTGTGCCTCTCGGTGTCCTCAGAGCCACATTTAAAACCCAACTAATAAAAATAAATGAAAAAAATAAATAAATAAATAAAAGGTAAGGAGAAGCAGACAAAATTCATTTTAGTAGTGCACTTTATTTAACCCAGTATGTTTTAAATGTTCTCATTTTAACATGTAGCCCACACTTTGAAATTATTAATGAGATCTTTCCTTTTTCTTCATATTAAGTCTGGGAACTCCAGTGTGTATCTCACACCGCCAGCTCCTCCCAGTTCAGACCAGCCACACATCAAGTGTCAGTAGCCACGTGTGGCCCCCATACTGGGCAGCAGAGGATTCTGGGGTTACACTGTCTGTCCCAGGTCCCACTGCCGGTTAGGGAGAGCTGAAGTTGGAGTGAGGGTTTCCTTGTTTCTGATCCCAAGTTCTGTTCACTCGTCACCTATTTCTGGATTGTTCCTTCCCAAGAGGAAGTAGTGTATTGTAGCCACATGGGGTGTGGCTGTAGCACAGATTGGAAACTCAAATCCCAGAGGTGCTGCTTTGTAGCTGCAAAGCCTTGAGCACGTCACCTGTCAGTACTCTGGTTTCTGCTTGCATAAAATGGGGCAATGATAACAGGGCCTCATGAGGTCAATGTGAGGAATAAATTCATTTTAGTAATAAATTAGTTCAGTGCAGCAGTGGGCAGATCCGAGCTCTAGGTCTGGGATCCAGGGAATCCCTTCTGAGGGTCCCCTCCTGTGCTGTCCAGGCCCGTCCGCTGCAGGAAGCCTGGCAAGGCGGATGGGGCACTTCGGTGCTTTCCTAATCAGTCCACTTCCCTGAGCATGCAGTTCCCAAGGCCAGAGCATTGTGGAGGCTGCTTCTGCAATGGTTTTTCTTTATGTGTGTGCATGCCAGGTCGCTCAGTCATGTCTGACTCTTTGTGAGCCCATGGACTATAGCCTGCCAGGCTCCTCAGTCCGTGGGATTTCCCAGACAAGAATACTGAAGTGGTTGCCATTTCCTTCTCCAAGGGATCTCCTTGACCCAGGGATTGAACCCATGTCTCCTACATTGGCGGTCAGATTCTTTACCACTGCGCCACCTGGGAAACCCAGTTTTCTTTCTTTTTTTTTTTTTTTTGAGGGTTTGAAGTTGGAGCCAGACACGAGCACAACCATTCAGAGAGGTTTTCATGCAGTAAATGCTGGTGGCTCCTCCCAGGGGAACTGGGGGAGGCCACACCCCATGATTGATCATGTCAGTTCCTGGGCTCATGGTTTTTCCTGCCTTCTCTCTCCCAGCTCCTACTTTGTCCGTACCCACTTCAAATGCCTCCCCTCTGAGCACTCTTCCTCAACTCTTGCCCCAGCCTCTCTCCTCACCCCCAAAACATGGAGACAGAGGTGCCCTCCTTTCCCGTAGCACTGGGTGCACCTCCCAGAGACCCTTGTTACACCCCACCTGGCTTCTGCACCCTCCCATCCTGAGGTGACCACCCTGCTACACTGACATCCCCTGCAGATTCAGTCTGACCCCAGTTTACCTCCAGATTCTTCCAGCATCTGCTCCTCAGCTGGCATTCAATGAATAAACTAATGAGTGAATGAATGAGTGGAGGAATCTTATCCCAGTTTCACTGCAAGAACAAGGACTGTGGCTTCTTCTGTAAACTCTCAGCAGAAAAACATGCCTATGCCTGGGCTTGAAAAGTAAGAATCATCAAATCTCATCCAAAAACACAGAACCTAAGCTCCATCCCCCAGAGATTGTTGTGTAGGTCTGGGGTCAGACCCAGGAAGCTGAATGTGTTTTCATCTCTCTAAGGCATTCTATAGCCTAGACAGGCTTAGAAAGACCTAATCCAGACCATTTAACCAGTGGGAGAACTGGAGATATAGAGAGAGAGACATGGAGATATATAGAAATATGATGGAGCTACAAGGCCCACAGAGGGAAAACACTATGATTCCATTCCACAGGTATTCTTAGGTATTAACCATGTGAAGGAATCTGGGGGTCCACTGGTTAAAACATAGCATTTATGAAGAAGGAAGAAAGCCAGGGGCTGCACTCAGAAGGGATTTGGATTCCCTGCTGGGGACACGAGGGCTGTGTTGATGGAACAGTGGGAAACGGCATCCCTGGGGAAACAGCAGCATCCGAGAGCGGGATACACATGGCCAGGATGTCCGCTCTTCACACCACCTTCTTCTTCCCGCAGGTCTCCCGTGATGGCCGGTGGACTGTTCGCCGTGGATCGGAAGTGGTTCTGGGAGCTGGGTGGGTATGACCCAGGCTTGGAGATCTGGGGAGGGGAGCAGTACGAGATCTCATTCAAGGTGAGCCAGCCCCTGGAATGCCCCCTGTCCTGGCAGGTTGCCTGCCTAGCAGTGTCTGAGCCTGGGGAGACTGTGGAGGCCTCAGGTTCTGCAGCCCATCTGCTCAATGTTGCATCGTCCTTTCTTAGATGATAGTGTTGGAATAGGACAGGCCTCATTTCCACTAAAGAGATGGTGTGTCCCCATTGAGACACCCAGCACACCAGCAGAGGGGAAGAGAGAGCCAGATAGTCGAACAGGACACACAGGCTGGTGGAAAGCTCTGCTCTGAGAACGATCCCCGGGCCTCACAGAGGCCGACTTGTCCTTAGTGGTTCCTGGCCACCTGTCTCAAGTTTTCCCTTTGTGTCTTTTCCCGCTGGAGTTTGATATACAGAAACCAGGGGCTAAGAGCTCGAGTTGTGGTGTCAGAAAAGTCTGGGCTCCAATCCCAACATCACTACTCAGTAGCAGTGTGGCTTTGGGCAAGTTAGATTACCTCTCTGAGCTTTCTTTCCTCATCTAAGAGGATAATAAGACTACCTACCTTACAGAAGTTTTGTGACGATTAAATGAGATAATATCTAGAAAATGGTTAGCACCCAACCTGGGGACACAGCCACCAATTAATAACTGGTAGAAATTATTAAAGAGTTGGAGAATAAATATTTACTATAAGCTATTAGACCAATCCATGGGCTGTAGAATCTTCTGATAATGGTAGTAAAGGAGACGATGGTTACTAGTTAACTATACAAACTTCTGAGGCCAACTTCTGCCCCTTTTTGTTGGATTTTTGTATTGATCTCAAGTGAAGAATGAAGGCTTTGTCCATCTGTAGGGAAGACTATCTTGTCTTGTGCCCCTGTGGTCGGCTAGGGCCTGCTTCTAACACCCCTGTGACCCTTGGTAAGATATATCCCCAGCCCATGAGGAATGGCCAGCAGCATTACTGGGCTGAGTCCTGTGAATGCACAGCCCTGATGTCCACCGAGTCTAGCATCTACTTCCTAGGCAAAGGACCATTGTCACACACACAACAGTTAAGGCTTCGGTGCTGGGGTTAGATTGCCTAGGTCAGGTTGTAGCTCTGCTGCTTTGTACCAGCTGTGTGATCTTGGACAAAGAGTCCTTATCCGTCTGAACCTCAGTTTCTACTTCCATAGAGTGGGTATAGTGACCCTCTAATCGTCACAGGGTTGTTGAGTGGATTAAATAAGACCATTCTTGTTAGGTGCTTCTCAATAAATATCCTGAAATAATGAAAAATTATTTTCACTATTGTCATTGTCACTGCCACTGACTGAGCAGTTCAGAACGGGGGACAGTAATTCTCGGGCCCCCTGATGCGAAGGGCTGACTCACTGGAAAAGACCCTGGTGCTGGGAAAGACTGAAGGCAGGAGGAGAAGGGGATGCCAGAGGATGAGATGGCTGGATGGCATCACCGACTCAATGGACATGAGTTTGAGTAAACTGCGGGAGTTGGCGATGGGCAGGAAAGCCTGGCGTGCTGCAGTCCATGGGGTTGCAAAGAGTTGGACACAACTGAGTTACTGAACTGAACTGAGCAAGAAAACAAGCTAGAATTCCCCTGAAACATTATTTTGGTTTGAAAAACCATCTTTTTCATTTTACCTTCAGATTTCTGAAGTTATCTCCCATAAGGGAGCCAGCCCTTTAAATAAAACTAATATTAAAATCCAGGGGTAGCATTAAAAATATTTAGCAGTCATGATGGCACCAGCCAGTCAGAGCGATGCCAGCTGTCAAAAAGCATCCATCCACTCTGGTATGCAGCAACTCAGGTGCAGCCTGGATCAGCGCTGGCAGGACCCTGTGCAGAGCACTTCACACGTGTTGTCTTATTTAATCCTTACAACAGCCCTAGGAGGGTGGTATCGTTGTTATACCCATTTCACAGGGAGGCAAGTGGAGTTCAGACCAAGGTCCCACACAGTTAGAACTAACAGAAGCAGGACATGAACCCCGGCCTGCCTGACTGCAGGGTCTGCGCTCTGACCTGCTGTGTTGTGCAGGCCTCTGCAGGGGCGTGAGAGCGCTTGAGAGGAAAACTAGCCTGAGAGGTTTCTCTGCAATCTCTTACTTACTTCTCAGTTTTTGCCTCCTCCTGGGGGCAGTTAACCCCCTCTTGGGGTTAATTACTAGGCGATTCTACAGCCTCTCAGTGAATTGAATTAGTAAGCAGTCTAAGTCAAAAATAGTTATGCTCTCCCAACCAACTCTGGTCCATCAATAGAGGCTGCCCCTCATTGTGTGAATATGTATTGTGAGGCTGCGTTCAGAAAAGGAGTGGTGATTGATTAGTGATGTCTGCCATGGGTGCAGGTTTGGTGGGTGATAGCACATATGTCATTTATAATCTCTAGCCCTTGCAATTTAGTTTTCCAAATGCCACATCCTTACAGGTTCAGTAGAACCACACGTAAGGCATCAGAAGAGTTTTAACTTCACAGTTCCTCCGTTTACCAGTTAAACAAACTTAACTTATGAAGTTTGTTTCCAGAAATGGACACATCAGAGTTCTGAGTTCTCACCAGAATATGAACGTCAACAGTATAATAATCTTTGTTTGTTGTATCCCAAGAACCAAAAGGATTGCCTGACAGGAAGAAAGTGCTTAATAAGTAACTGTTGGTTGACTACCCAGAGCAGGTGTGTCATTGCCTGAACCAGCCTCCCTGGTCAGAAAGTCCCCCTGCAGAAAGTCCGTGGAGAGTGGTGATGGTAGAGAAAGGAGCACAAAAGAATTTCTAAAACCCAAGATGATCTCATTCTGTGTCTTTCAAAGACCCATCTGATGACGGTCATCAGGCAGTCATGGCAGAACAAATGGCATTCTCCCCCCCCAGTTTATTTACAAAAGACTCAGTAATGGGTGGTGAGGTCTCTCATCCGGGAAGGGGAGGGAGGCTGGCTCCTGTTTCCGTTTGGTCCAATTATCTCCTCCACTCTGGAGAGGAAATGAGACTGTGTAATGAGGAGTCTCCCAGGTCTGGGAGGGAGACCTTTCTCCCTTGGCTTTCTCTCTCAGGCTGTGGAGCTGGCAGCAGCCCCTTTGCCAGCTCACTGTCTCCCGGGCAGGCTTGCCCACAGCGCTGAGGGCACAGGGGAGCCCAGTTGTCTGCCTGAAATGCCGGGTGTTCAGTTTCAGCCAGAGCAGGGCATTTACAAAGGGCCAAATTGCCTCTGATTAATCTCTGCTGGGCTCCCTTTTCTTCTTGGTGACAGAGAAGAGAGACTGGTCTGAAAAGCATGAGTGTATTTTCAGAAATTAAGATAAATTGATACATGCCATCAGGGCTGATGGATTAATAATTTGGCTCCAATTTCAGACCAGGCCATCTATCCTGATGGGAAAACCGTAAAAAAGATGTTCCGAAGGCTCTGAAATTTCTAGAAGAGTCATTGACTCTTTTCTTCTTAGTCAACAGCTTTTCTTTCTAAAAGGCACAGTCACACTATGAGAGTTCTCCTTCCTGGCAGTTACACTCTTCCCAGTTCTGGTGGTCAGATAACTCTTTAACCCTGTAGCCTGGCCTGCACCCACCTCCATGAGCTGCTTACCATTCCTTGCTTTCTCTCCACCCTCCTCCCCATTGCATTAGTCTAGACTCTTAGTAACAGATAACCAATATCCTGGTCAATCTGGCTTAAGCAAAAAAAGTCAGAATTGATTGGCCCACACGACTGAAATTCCAGGGTAGATCCTCCAGGTCCAGCTGGATCCAGAGACTAACCCATCTCATCCAGGCTCCATCTCCCTTAGTCCCTCAGCTCTGCTTTCATCTGGGTGGCTTCCCTCTCGGGCAAGCTTTCTCTCATGGAAATACCCAGCAGCCCAGTGGGAAGAGTTTCTGTTTCCCCTCATTCCTATAGTAAGTCCCCAAGTCAAGTCTCTGACCTTCTGGCTCCTTGCCTATCCCGGAGCAGTGTTCTGATTGGTCAGCTGCTGTCTGAATCTGATCGGTCACATGCCCATCCCGGAGCCAGGAGGTGGGATGAGCTGGTTCCCCAAAGGAAAGTCTAGGCACTGTGTGCAGAACAGAGGCGGGACAGGCAAACCACAGAGGTCCACCTCACCCAGCCATGTGGGATGCTCGCAAGCCCCAGGCTCACATGCTTTGCCATCTTTGGGGGCATGCACTGTTCATTTTTCCTGAAATGCCCTTCCTTAGTCTGGCCAACCCACACTTATCTTTCTGGGCTCAGCCTGTCTTATGCCTCCTCTCAGCCTTAACCTGAGCTCCCTGTGATGATTAGGGGCCACCCCAGGGTCACTTCCAGCGTGTCTCCAAATTCCTCCCACTGACATGACCCAAAGATTGACCTGTCTCCCCAACTATACTCTAAGCTCCCTAGAGGCAGGGAGGGAGTCTTGTTCATCTCTGTACCCTAGTTCCTGGCCCATCATAGGTGTTTTAAATACCTGTTAGTGGCATCAATTCCTATCTGATATCCTTTCTTCATGCTGCCCTTCCCAGCCTTACATCTCCATCTTTGGGTACTGGTTGTGTAATGAGAAAGGTACTCAGCAAGAAGGCAGGGCACTGGCTTCTCATCTCTGATACCTGTCCACCTGGAGACAGAGCCAGTCGCTTGACCTCTCTGGCCCTCCCATCCCACATGATACTGATAAAGTTTTCCTTCCTACCCAAGGTAGGCTCAAATAAAATGCTGTAGAGAAAGCCCTTGGCCTTACCTGAGCACGAGAGTGGTTTGGATTAGAGGTGGTGGTGGCAGGATGAGCAAGAAGGGGACTTCACATCATCCTCAGGAGGCTGAGGTTAGGATATCTTCAACTCTGAGCTCCTGGAGAAGTGTCCACAGGGCAACGTGGCTGAGCTAGTGTGAGAAGGACATGGGCTTTGGGACAATGAAAGTGGGCATATCTTTTGTTAGCAATTTGGCAAAATCTGTTACATTTCAAAACAAGCACATTCTTTGACCCAAAATTCCACCCTCAGGAGTTTAGCCTAGAGAGACAGAGCAAAGATTGAG